ATCGCAGAAGAGAGATAAAGAACGACGCCTCCTTGGCATCGACTTTGTCGGGCGTTTTTCGGCACTCCGGGCTGCAAGCGGCGGGCATGACCCAATGCCGCCATGGGCCGTGGTCCTCCCTGTAGAAAAACTCGTTGTCCCCGCCCCTGCCATCGTTGAGGTATTCCTTAACGGACAAACGCGCGGTGTGTCTAGTTATCGAACTGTGCCCGTTCAAGATGTTAGGGTCGACGCCGACTGGCCACCTATGTGCTATCTCGTCGCCCGTCTTGGCATTCAGGTCTTCGTCGATGTCAAAAACCGTCTCGAAGCGGTTGAGGAATTCGGGGAAGGGCGGGCGCGGGTTCGAGGAGATCCCGTCCACCATGCCTTTGACCACGTTCTGAACCTTCGATTGGACTTTGGCGTGGCACGACTCGCCGCAGTTGTTGGAGGAGCGCGACTTACCGCGATCTGGGCCGGAGCGCCATATGGCGTTGCACAAAGGAACGCCCCCGACAGGCTCTTCGAAAAGGTACCATTGTCTGAAACACCTCGCCCACCTCGCCTGGGCGCCAATGTACGGGATCACGCCCGACTCCAAGTCTCGCAACGCATAGAACACAACGATGCCGAACAAGACGATCTCCAATCGCCTGTGCACTTCGAAAAGACGAGCGCGCAGTGTGCTCGCAATGTCCGCCTTCTTGAGATCGCCGCGACGCTTCAGCTTCGAGATGCCCGTTTTCCCTTGCCCGCACAAGTTGCCCAACGCATGCTCTTCGCAACCCGCGAGGAGACGCACTTGCGCCGGGCGATCCAGACGCCGTGGTCCTCCCTGTAATCGTCGTTGCACTTGGCCCCGTGGACTTCCATGAACGCATTCTGGCAACCAGAAGTGAAATCTGAACGAGCACTCGAGACAGCCTGCATTCTCGCCGCCACTTTCGGGTGGAACTCCTCCGCGTAATCTCGCACAGCTTCCATGAGAAATCCAACCCGCCCTTTCGGGGCGCGTCTGGTGCAGGGGGTCCGCCCCTCCAACCCCCCTTACCCTTTGGGAAGGGATCCATCTTCATTCCGTATGGGATATACCCCTGAACCTCCCCTTCCCCGGCTGATAGCGGGCCCATGCGGGAGGTCCCCATTGAACTTGTGCAAAAACAATACAGAATCAACGTTTTGTTATAATCAACATGGATGTTTTGTCGTCCACGACGCTAAATGCGCGGCAACAATGAGACGCGGCGCACGCGCCGCCGCAAAAGGGCGAAATGTCGCTCTGTTCCCTTGTTCCTTATCAGAAGATACCCCTGAAGCCCCCCCTCTCCCCGGCTGGGGGGGGGGGGGGGGGCGTCCGGAAGGGCCCGCTTGAACTTGGAAAAAAATGCAAACATCAACGTTTTTCCTTTATACCTGGACGTTTTGTCGCCCGCGTCGCAAAATGTGTGAAGGAGCGGGACGCGGCGCGCGCACCACCGCGAAAGGGCGAAATGTAGCTCTCTATCCTCATCCCATGAAAATATGCTTCTGACGACCCCCCCCCCCTTTCCGCGCGCCTCCCAGCGCGCGCCGCGTCTCGTTCCTGCCGCGCGAGGAGGGAAGTCAAGAAGGACGCGGGCCCGCTCTCCGACGACGAATACGCCGACGACGACGGCGACGCCGACGACGACGACGCCGACGACGACGATGAAAGGCGGCGTCGGCGTCGGCGTCGTCGTTCGTCGACGCCGTCAGCTGATGCGGACCGCCCTTGCGGCCGCATCAGCCAAACCACCCGGCCGACGTGTGCCAAGTCTTATGTTGTGGGAGGGCGGGCGGGAATGAGCCTGCCGCGCTTGACTCGCTCGGGTTGACTAGCTTGACCTCCCCCGCACTTCCTCGCCCCAAGTCTGGCCGGGGTTTTCCGCTGGGCGCTGGAGCGCCCAAGACGTGCCCATTTCGCCGCACGGGCCGCAAGCAGTCCAGGGTGCCCTGGGTATCGTCTCTGGACGGGCTGCCGCGCATACGCGAAGCGTCGAGCCTTGATATGGGTCTTGCCCCTCGCCCGCCTTCACGAAATTCAAACCCAAAGGATTGAAGGACACCCTGTACTTCTTAATGCCCCCTGCGCGCTTTTCGGTCGCGCCGCGCACGTAATGGTTCGTCGCGTATCCGTACACCAGGCAGAGCAATGCGTCCGTCTTCAATTTCCTCTTTGCACCAGTGGCATTCGCCTTCCCTTTCAGGCCATCGACGATTCATCCATGCCCATGCTGGCGCCAGAGCTCCACGAGGACGCGGAATCGGGGCATGGAGAAGAAACCCGGCCTCTGGAGGCCAAGATTTTCGTACACGCCCTGCGCCCCCTATCGCCCAGAGTGGAGGGCAGTTGCAGGGGCATGGATCGAACGTCGATCGCCCACCTTTGGCCGGCCTGCCGCCCCGTTGGCCGCCGTCGCCCTCGGAATCACCGGGCCCCGCGTTGTCCTCTGAACAAGAACTGCCCTGGTCGGCCTCTTCCTCCTCGTCCTCAGGGGGCTGCAGGACAAAGCACAAGGGCTGCCGACGGGTGAATTTGTGCTTCCCGTCTGCGTGAACGTCCAACCCTGGCATATCCTCGTTGAGGTTGGCGCGCCTCAACATCCACCGCTCCTGCGTGACACACACCATGAACACCTTCCCCGACTCCGGGTCAACGCCCTGGTGGCGCATGCAAACGCAAGTGCCGTCCTGGAGCTTAGCTGCGCGCTTCAGCTCCGGCAACTTCCGAGACTCCAGATATTGCAACAAGGGCCCTGCGGACATGGTCACCTGTCGGTGCAAAAGCTGGGGGGCGCACACTACGGCCACGCCCACAGCGGCTCTTATGGTAGGTGGGTACAAAATCTTGTCTAGATCGCCCTAGGATGGTCCAGGAGACTACAAGGGTGGATCTATGGTATGCCTCGAATCGTGTGACGCGGAGGGCACTGTCCTCCTGTCCCCCCCCCCCCGCAGCCTCCGCCCTAGCCGCCCGGTTTTGATGGCCTCCTACAGGGGTCCAGATTCCGAACGAAGATCTGTAGGGCCAACCCAGACATCCTGGAGCTGTGAAAACATTGCGTCAGCGAGTCCTTCCTGCGATTGGGGGCCAGGGCACTACACGGTCTGTAGAGCGAGCATGCAAAACGTCCATCCGGCGAGCGGCAGAGGCCGCGGGCGGGCCCCCGGGGGCGAGTCCTGACGGGCGACTCGAGGGCGAGGGACCCAGTGGGATGGCTGGGCGCAAGGCAATGCAAGCGGGGATGATCGGCAAGCCTGCAGCAGTGCCGTAATGCCATTGACCGTCATGAACATCACCGGGGGTGCTCTCCAAACGAACGTGGGACTCTCTGGAGGAGGACGGGGTTCGGGCAACAAGGTATTCCTAGGATGACAAGGCTGCCCGGGCGGGACCGGGGCACGGGGAAGTCCATGGGGCATGGGGCGTTTTTGACCCGGCGAGCGCAAGCACCTGGCGCACCTCCTGGGGCTCCAAACCGATGCCCAGCCTGGTCTTCAGAATTCGTGAAGATGGACAGGCCACGCCGTGGCTCCTGTACGCAAGGGCCGCCGCCTCGACACTGTGAAGTTGTTCTTTCTCTAACACTTTCCACTGCGCCGTGGTCAGTCCCAATATCTTCCGGTCCTCGCCCACATGATTCCGCCCGGAGCGCGCGTGCAGCTGTAAGGCTCGCCCTTTCAGTCTCGCCTGGTACTCCATGCACATCTTCCTGTTGCTATGGCATCCCGCGTGGCTGGCGCACTTGAAATTCGCTACGTACGTCCCGTTGGAGTCCGTCCGGGCAATCGCACCCTGCACGTAGACGTCGTGATCGAGCAGGAACTTCTTCCAGCAGAACTCGGTAAAGCCGGACAGCTGAGGAGGAGTCCGCGCCAGGTCATGACGCGCGCCCAACATCGTGGGATCCCCTAGAGCACTCCATTCAACGACCTTGGGCACGCCGCGGAGGACAAGCGACTCTGGGCAGGACAAGTTGAGAAACGGCCACGCGCGCGCGCAGGGGCCGTCGGCGGCGCACGCACCAGTGCCAGGACGTACCTCGGGCGGGGCACCGTCGCTGGCAATGCCACTGGCGCTGGCGCCTGCTTTTCCTCCCTCGGCACCCTTGTTGCTCTCGAGCTCCTGCAAGAAGCCCCCCCGCGGGCGCTCGCTCCGCGTGCCAGCGCGGGTGAGGGCGCGGATGGCCGCGCGCGATGCGCGCCACTGCGCCCGCGCGGCCGCCATCCACTTGCGGCCCCGGTCCACGCGGGTGCCTTTCGGGGCCCGCGCAGCCGCCGGTGCTCCGTCACCCGCCTCATCTCTTTGCATCGACCGCACGGTGACCATGGCCTCTGCCCCCTGGCCGCGAGGCTCATATCGCAAGACAGATGACAAAGAGCAGAAACGCCGGAGGTTCCCGACCACTGACTTCATGATGGGAGTGGCCTCGTACGCCTGTTTAAGCATGCTGGCTGGCATCGCCCCGCCGCTGTCGCGCACCAAATTGATCATCGCGTCTCGACGCCCGATTGTCGCATAGACGTTGTTGAGTAGGGCCCGCGTTGCCACGACAAGAACGAGGGAAGGCCGGAGAGAACAAAGATTGGGCATATACGTAGGATCAGAATGACAAGCAAGATCTCTCGGGCACGTGGCTGCGGGAGGGGGAATGCCAAAGAGGACGAACACAAGGAGGGGCATTGTTTCAGAGCCCCCCCCCTCCCCCCTGGGAACAGGGACTCCCAGAGTGCTCAAATGGGTCAGTGCTGGGAGCCTCACATTTTGACCCCCGTCAACACGTGCTCCCCCGTGCCGTTTCGCGAGAGCGCGCCCTCGGTCCCAAGGCCGGGCGGCTCTGTGAGCTCACTGGCATACGTTATTGAAAAGACGACTTCTCAGATATTTATTATGCCTTGGATGAGCGGATTTCCCAGACACCCCAAGGCCTGTTCTGCCGCGGACCCAGGGGGGCGACACGTCTTAAGAGGCCTTCAAGACGGCAAGACGGCCCGATGACTTCATGAAGATTACTAACATCCCACTCGACGCGCAGCCATTTCGACAACTGCCCGTGCATCGATCATCAGGACCATCGATCATCAGAGCGCATGCTAACATACAACTCGGGCTATATAAACGCCCAAAAACCACAGAAGCGACAGCCATGGCAAGGGGGCCTCGCATGCAGTCTGTTGCTGTGTAAACAGTAGAAGCACGGCAGAAGTCGAAGCACCGCTGCGGAGTGCGTCAACCTCGCCTGAGACTACATGGCGGCAGTGGCGGCTCGCTTGTACTACGCACGATCCATAAGCTGCATAACGCGTTGTAGACAGTTAGCGATATCGATGGGATCAAGCCCTCCGCCATCAGCCCGCGCTCTCCGCGACCGCGTTTCTCGGCGGAAGGGGCGCCTCAGCAGCGAGAAAATCAGAACGCGCCCCTTGGAAACATCTTTGTGGCGTCGGCACGTTTCTCTTTTGCGGAAGGGGAATTATTCCTCTTAGCGGCAACGTGCTACCTTGACCGAGGCGGGTGTGTGACAACCGTAGCATCCGTCCGCTGCGACCGTCGGCCTTCCGATTTGTTTGCGTAGGGGGCGCAGTGAAGGCCAACCCCGTGCCTTTTATGGACCGACTCCCGATCACAGCGCAGCATATTGTAGCGTAAGCTCAACGATCAGCATTTGGGCTTGCCTTCCCCTGGCGGGCGCGGCCCAAATGACTGACGGGGAAGTGTACCCTTGGCAATTATCCTGCCGGCGCCGCAAGGGTGCTCTACATCCACGGCCCCGCAGAAAGCGGCCTTCCATCTGGCTTCGCCTGGATGCGTTGCAGCCGCCTTTCCATAGAAAAAACATTCGACATGCCCTGCCTATTTGCTTTACATCCGCGGCCCAACAGAAAACGATCTTCCACCTGGCTTCGCTTGGATGCCTTACAACCGCTGCTCCGCGGAAAACGATCATCTTGCCGGCCCCACCAAGGTGCTTTGCATCCACGGCCCCGCAGTAACCGGCCTTCCTTTTTGCTTCGCCTGGATGTTTTACAGCCGCGGCTCCGCAGAAAAACAACCATCCTGCCGGCCCCGCCATGAGGTGGAGGGAGTGAGGGAGAGGTTAGATGGAACGGCCTCCTCCAGTGTCCTCTCCTGAGCACGGTTGTTTTCACTGGGTGCCAGCCAGGCACCCTTGCCAGCCAGCCAACCTCGTGCCTGCCTTGTGCACCTTCGCAGCCCCCAAGGGGCCCTTCAGCGCCACTCTTCCTGCAACCCTCTTCTCCTCCTCCTCCTCCTCCTCCTCCTCCTCCTCCTCCTCCTCTTCCCTCCAAGTCATTTTCCTCCTCCGAGTCGTCGTCGCCATCGTCCTCCTCCTCCTCATCCTCCTCCTCCTCCTCCTCCTCCTCCCCCGTGTCTTCCTCCCCTTCCTTAACATGCTTTCTAGGGTCGGCGGCACTGGCCGCCAGGCCTTCACAATAGCCAGAGTCCTCCGCATATCGATGCAAGCGCAATCATACGCCTGGCAACGCTTGAATACACATGTACGCACACAAATACAATGCATAACATATCAGGAAACATCGAAGCCTCCCCTCGGAAACCTGGTCCCCGGAAAGACGACGACGGCGACGACGCCCGCGGCGACGGCAGCGGCCTCGACGACGACCTCGTTCCTCGAGACCTGAGATACACGAGGCCTCTGAAGGCCCATGCCAAACAAAAAATCCGAAACCGGGAACGGAACGCACGACGACGAAGATGAGGACGACGAGGGCGACGAGGATGACGACGACGACGACGCCGACGACGACGACTGCGACAACGACGACGCCCGCGGCGACGGCGACGACCCCTTTGGTCCCCGTTTGGTCCCCCTTTGGTCCCCCTATGGACTTCTTTGGTCGCCCTTTGGTCCCTCTTTGGTCCCCCTTTGGTCCCTTTGGTCCCCCTTTGGCCCCCCTTTGATCGCCCTTTGGTCCCCTCTCCCTCCGTGGGTCCCCCTGTGGTCCCCTTTTGGTCCCCTTTGGTCCTCCTATTGGTCCCCCTTTGGTCACCCCCTCCGTGGGTGCTTCTTTGGTTCCCTTTTAGTCTCCCTTTGGTCCTCCTTAGGTCCCCCATGGGTTCCCTATTGGTTTCCCTTTGGCCGCCTCCGCGGTCCCCCCTGTGGTCCGCCTTTGGTTCCCCTCATTGTCCTCCCTTTGGTTCCCTATTGGTCCTCCTATTGGTCCCCCTTTGGCGTCTCCCCTCCGTGAGTCCCCCTCTGGTTCCCTTTTAGTCCCCCTTGGGCCTTCACTTTGGTTTCCATTGGTTTCCTATTGGTCACCGTTCGGTCACCCCCTGAATGGGTCCCCCTGTGGTCCCCCTGTAGTCCTCTTTGGTCCCCTTTTGGTTCCCCTCATTGCCTCCTTTGGTCCTCCATTGGTCCCCTTACTGGTTCCCCTTTGGTCTCCCTCCGTGGATCCTCCTTTTGGTCCCTTTGACCTCCCTTTGGTTATCCTGATTGGTTCCCCTCTGCGCCGCTTGGTTCCCAGTCTCGTTTTCGAGGGCCCCGAGGCCCGAAACGGATCCCGCAGGACGTTAACTGAAAAAACCAACGAACAAATCTAGGAAAAATCGTTCTCCTCCTCCTGCCTCCTCCTCTGAGTGTTCCATTTTGTCCAAAACGGAGATTCGAGGCGCCACGAGCCCTCAGACACTCAACCTGGGAGTCGATTGCGCGCACTGCCACGACTGTCCTGCATATGCAACAAAACAACGGCCGACGACAGGAGGCGCATCAGGATCTGGATGCGGTGCAGGTGGAAGAAAACTGCCAGAACAACCGCGTGCGCACTCCACCTCACTCAACGCGCCACGGCCAGCGGCGCGGCTCCAGCGTCGACCACTCGCCGGCCTCCGCGGGGATGGGTCGCGAGCCAATGCCACCGCCGGCCAGCGGCTCCGCGATCGTACGGATCACGGGGACGACGAAATAACCGCGCACGAACTCGGCACTCCTGATGAAAAGGGTACGGCAGGTTCTCGGCGCCGTGTGAGCTCATGCCCGCGATGGCCGTCGCGGAATTGTCCCAACGCAACCCGACCACGGCGTGTGTTGGCCTCCGCCCAGCGGCATCCATCCGACCAGGCCTTCGAGGCGGCAATGGAGGTCGAGGAAGGAAAACCAAGATAAACATAAACTTTCGGATTCCTGCGGATGTCTGGCATCGGCGCTGGACCCCCCCGCCCCCCTCCCTGGCGCGCGGAGCGCACCAAGGGCGGCGCCCGAGGTGCCGCCGGGGGGCCCAGCGCTGATCCAAGATATCGGCGCGGACTTGGGAAAGTGTATGTTTATGCCGTTTCTCTTCCTCGAGGAGGGTAGGGAGGCGGGGTGGGAAGGAACAGGGGGGGAGAGCAAGGTAGGTGTCATCCCGCCACATCTGATATCCCACATGGGTTGCCGACCACGTCCTGCGCGGACTCGCGGGGGAGAGAAGAGTGAGTATCCATATTGAGTAATGGCAAAGAGGGGGAGGGGAGAGGATAGGAGTAGAAGGGGGGGGGCGGGAAGAGGCGGACAGGGCTGAGGATGGGAGGGGGGGCAATGGTAAGTGGCACAATTCCTGCCCCGCACGCCACTTCGCAACCAACACGACGCAGCGCCATCCCGCGGCGTTGTGAATGGCCCACGCCGCGTCCGAGAAGTCCTCGGCGCGCCTCGATGAGAACGACACCGTGTACATGCAACTCTTGGCCTGGATCCGGACCGGCCCAAGCGCGGCGAGCAGCGCGCCAGGCCACCGCGCCTGCAACGGCGCTCTGTCGAGGAAAGTGCCGTAGAGTCGAGCCGCGCCCGCGTGGATCCTGCACTTGGCTGCGAGAGCAGAAGCAGCTGCAGAGGCACACGCGTGCAAAGAACACAGGTGCCAGTCACCCTGGTCGAGAATGCTGTCGCTGCACAAGTGCGCGAAGGGGACGCCCACGATTGGCGCGGTGAGCCGCACGCCGGAAGCCGCAGCGACCGCGCAGCCGGACGGGTTGTCCACGGCCTGCTGCTGGGCCGCCTCCTGCGGGCCAGGCGCCGGCTCCACGACGGCCTGCTGCTGGGCCACCTCCTGCCGGACAGGCGCTGGCTCCAAGACGGTCTGCTGCTGGGCCACCTCCTGGCGGACAGGCGCCTGCTCCGCGACGGCCTGCTGCTGAGCCGCCTCCTGGGAGACAGGCGCGGGCCCCACGACGGCCGGCTGGGTCGCCTCCTGCCGGACTGGCACCGCCTCCTCGTCCGAGGAGTCTTGCATGCCCCCAGGGCGGGCGAGCGCCGTCGCCACGACGACGCGAGCCGTCGGAGAGAGGCCCTCCAGCCACGCCTGCTGCTGGGCCACCTCCTGCCTGCGGAGCGACCTAATGATCTGTGACCGCGCGCGCGCAGGCTCCCTCTCGAACGCGGCCGGGCCGCGGCGCAGCCCGCGGAGGCCGCCGGCCCCCTTGACCTGAGGAAAAAAAACGAAAAGACGCACAACGACGCGGCATGCTGACACTGTGGCTTACGCGGGGCCGTGGCTCCCAAGACGGCTTACGCGGCGGCTTACGCGGGCGCTCTCGCTGAGGCTCTCGGCGGACAACCAGCGCGGGCAGCGACAGGCGCCCTCCCCCCCGTGCCCGAACGCTGCTCCGAGGAACTGCGCGGGCGGCTCACGTGCCAGCGCAATTGCGGCCGATTCGTTTTTTTTTTCCTCCGCTCATTTGCGCTCGCTTCCCCTTGGCTCCGTAGGTGCAGTCGAACTTCTCGCAGCGCTTCCCCATCGGGGATGGGGCTGCAAAAAAAAAATGAATTCCTAAATTCTGTAAGACTTGAGCCGACATGACAACGGATCGGCGCCTGTGCTCCTGCCGCGCGCACACTGCCACGAGGGCGGCGACCCCAACCGACGGGTCGGGTCGGGCGGGCGGGACATTAAAACATGATGCATCTTCGGGTTGGCACGGGTCGGGCGGGCGGGACACTAAAGTCTGATGCGCGTACAGCGTGACACATGAGAACCCTAACGGCCGGGGCGGGACGGGCGGACCCTATCGGGCGGGTCGGGCGGGCGGGCCCTAACGGGCGGGTCGGGTCGGGCGGGTGGGACACTAAAGTCGGATGCGTATACTGCATGACATATAAGAACTCTCACGGGCGGGGCGGGACGGGGCAGACCCTAGCAGGCGGGTCGGGCGGGCGGACCCTAACGGGCGGCTGGGGACAGGCGGGCGGGACACTAAAGTCTGATACATATACGGCATGACGCATGAGAACCCTAACGGCCCGGGCGGGACGGGCGGACCCTATCGGGCGGGTCGGGCGGGCGGACCCTAACGGGCGGGTCGGGTCGGGCGGGCGGGACACTAAAGTCTGATGCGCATACAGCGTGACACATGAGAACCCTAACGGGCGGGACGGGACGGGCGGACCCTATCGGGCGGGTCGGGCGGGCGGACCCTAACGGGCGGGTCGGGTCGGGCGGGCGGGACACTAAAGGCTGATGCGCATACAGCGTGACACATGAGAACCCTAACGGCCGGAACGGGACGGGCGGACCCTATCGGGCGGGTCGGGCGGGCGGACCCTAACGGGCGGGTCGGGTCGGGCGGGCGGGACACTAAAGGCTGATGCGCATACAGCAAGACACATGAGAACCCTAACGGGCCGGGAACGGGACGGGCGGACCCTATCGGGCGGGTCGGGCGGGCGGACCCTAACGGGCGGGTCGGGTCGGGCGGGCGGGACACTAAAGTCGGATGCGTATACAGCATGACACATGAGAACCCTAACGGCCGGAACCGGACGGGCGGACCCTATCGGGCGGGTCGGGCGGGCGGACCCTAACGGGCGGGTCGGGTCGGGCGGGCGGGACACTAAAGGCTGATGCGCATACAGCGTGACACATGAGAACCCTAACGGCCGGAACGGGACGGGCGGACCCTATCGGGCGGGTCGGGCGGGCGGACCCTAACGGGCGGGTCGGGTCGGGCGGGCGGGACACTAAAGTCGGATGCGTATACAGCATGACATACAAGAACATCTCAACGGGCGGGGCGGGGGACGGGCGGACCCTATCGGGCGGGTCGGGCGGGGCGGACCCTAACGGGCGGTCGGGTCGGGCGGGGCGGGACACTAAAGTCGGAATGCGTTATACAGCGTGACACATGAAGATCGGAAACAGGCCGGAACGGGACGGGCGGACCCTATCGGGCGGGTCGGGCGGGCGGACCCTAACGGGGCGGGTCGGGTCGGGCGGGGCGGGGCACTAAGGCTGTGCGCATACAGCGTGACACATGAGAACCCTAACGGGCGGGACGGGACGGGCGGACCCTATCGGGCGGGTCGGGCGGGCGGACCCTAACGGGCGGGTCGGGTCGGGCGGGCGGGACACGAAAGTCGGATGCGTATACAGCGTGACACATGAGAACCCTAACGGCCGGAACGGGACGGGCGGACCCTATCGGGCGGGTCGGGCGGGCGGACCCTAACGGGCGGGTCGGGTCGGGCGGGCGGGACACTAAAGGCTGATGCGCATACAGCAAGACACATGAGAACCCTAACGGGCGGTGCGGGACGGGCGGGACGGGCGGACCCTATCGGGCGGGTCGGGCGGGCGGACCCTAACGGGCGGGTCGGGTCGGGCGGGCGGGACACTAAAGTCTGATGCGTATACAGCGTGACACATGAGAACCCTAACGGGCGGGACGGGACGGGCGGACCCTATCGGGCGGGTCGGGCGGGCGGACCCTAACGGGCGGGTCGGGTCGGGCGGGCGGGACACTATAGGCTGATGCGCATACAGCAAGACACATGAGAACCCTAACGGGCGGGGCGGGACGGGCGGGACGGGCGGACCCTATCGGGCGGGTCGGGCGGGCGGACCCTAACGGGCGGGTCGGGTCGGGCGGGCGGGACACTAAGTCGGATGCGTATACGCTGACACATGAGACCCTAACGGCCGGAACGGGACGGGCGGACCCTATCGGGCGGGTCGGGCGGGCGGACCCTAACGGGCGGGTCGGGTCGGGCGGGCGGGACCCTAAAGGCTGATGCGCATACAGCAAGACACATGAGAACCCTAACGGGCGGGGCGGGACGGGCGGGACGGGCGGACCCTATCGGGCGGGTCGGGCGGGCGGGCCCTAACGGGCGGGTCGGGTCGGGCGGGTGGGACACTAAAGTCGGATGCGTATAC